CTGAGAAATGCTTGAAATACCAGCAACATTTAGAGCTTCAGACTTGCTTTACTGAGCACCCAATGTGGTCGCACAACACGCCTCGTTTGTTTGCACATATGACAACGTATTTGCTTGCACGTGACAATCAAGGTTTATTTCATCTTGGTTAATGTGTCCATATGGTGCTTTGTACATGCTAGCAGAAATATCATGAGTGAAATAAGCAGTCAGCCCCACGACCGAGCATTTCTGACTTCATTTGCAAATTTTCCGTTTCATTATTCTTCTTCACACATTCTTCTTTGGACATGTACAGCTGCATTACTTCACGATTACACCTTGTCACTGTGTATTAGTGGTGTATGAGTGGTGTATGAAGAGAGTTGTAGGGGAGCTGGTGTGCTTGAGCTGCAGTGAGTGTTGGAGGGTAGGTGTAGAGAGAGATGGGCATTTCATAAATCAGGGCAACAGTGAAGAGTTGTGTTATAAGCCTGTAAGTCTGAGTGGTGATGTGGAAATAAATGTTCCTTCATCTTTTTAGCAGTTTTTTTTTTTTTTTAACTATAATTTATCCCACAGACTGTATAAAAGATGGACGTAGCTTCCGTGACGTCACCCGTTGGTTTCTGCACTGAGAAAATGAAGCCAGGGTTTTGCTACTTCCTGGTTGACATCTTGGATTTTTGGAGCCAGTGACGCAAAAATCGTGGGAGGGGGGCGGAGCCATAGGAGCAGCGATTGGTCAGACGGATTGAGAGGCGGGCCCTCTCTGCCCGCCCACATTTACCGCCTTCTGCTCGCTTCGTCTGTATGGTCGCTGCTGACTGTCAATCAAGCCAGCCACGCCCCTTGCCCCGCAAAATGTTGATGATTTTTTAAAAAATTCAGTTTTGATTTATTTTCAGATTGGCCACCTGATCTCTGGACTTGATTATGAAAACTAAAAAAAAAAAAAAAAAAATCCTTTTTGGAGCCAGGACTAGTGGACGTAGTGATATTGCAGGTTTTTGACACTTCTGGGTTGGCTTCATTTTTCAGGGCCGGTTGCTACGTCCATCTTTTATACAGTCTATGATTTAGCCACATATTATTTGAATTCTTTTTTCTTTTTGCCCTAGGTGGGTGAGGAATCATATATGATAACTGCTTTGACTTTGATTTGCAGCCTAAATCTATAACTTTTTGAAAAAAATCAAAAAAGAAAAAGATGTCCTCTTATATCCACAAATAATGCTTCAGGGTTGGAATCCTAAATTTCCAAGTATTTCAATGAGTGCCCTATGGAGGGTTAATGCATGTGTTCTGCAAGACTGTGCATGATGTAATTATCTATTTGCATTAGGCTATTTACCAATATATTATTTTTGTGGTCATAACCTGCTCAAGCAGTTACAAAAATTTAGTATTTTTATTTTGTGACCAAGTATTACATCCTAAAACATGCTCCATATGTTTTATTTTGTATTTTTTAACATGTAACTACATGCGCTTCAGGAAATATCACTGCTTGACTTTTGCGTTATAATTTTTTATGAATGTGTTTTCAAAGAAAGGACTTTCCGTAGTGGTTTCATTTTTTTTTTCATATTTCAACTCCTCTATAATCAGAGACTATCTGATCTACTTGCCCAAAATTGCAGATTCTGAATCAATGACATGATGAGAAATAACAGTGATTTAAGGCTTTTATCTTTAGTAGGTCTTTAAATCATTTCGTTCAGACTTAGCCTCAAATTTCAATGTGCGAAAAAATCTGTCAATGGGCAATTTAAAAAACAAAACAAAACACACAAATCTGAGAAAAACATCCAGAGTTAATGTTAAAAATGTTCCAAGCAAATGAGAGATGGCTGAGCAGAAGCCTCCTGACTAATTGAGATGGAACAACCCACCTTTACAAGTCATCAGTAAACGGTTCTAATGGAAGGAGTTGCTGATGGACTTCTACCTTTAAATTGTTTTCCATCAACAGAAGCAAGTCCTAGTTTCTCCAGGAATCCTGTGGTATGTCCGCCCATTGTGCTCGACACACCTCAGGAAAAACAACACTGACACGGTGCTACAGCCTAATCTGTAACCAGCAGGTGTTGTTCTGTGTTCAGCATGACCGTCCACGTAGCAGACTGACATGTACCTGCTGTAGCATGAACAAAGCTGAATATGTAACTTACACAAAGATGAGTTTTCCGGAGTGGAGGGACTTTCTGATAGTATTATATGACAAACCTGCTAAGATCTACTTCAAATCAGAGAAATTATCTAATTTTAACAACATAATTCGCTCTATTTTGATTTTTCGTTGTGCAGACCGGAGCCTGTTCGCTGTAGAACGGCTGAGTTTCAGGTTGACACAGCTCTGTTTGAGTTTCATTCAACTTTGTGTTCCTGCCTTACTGCTGATGCGATCTTCATTTTGTTTGTTCTGCCACTGGTAAGAACAGTTCTTGATTTAATAATTTATCCGCTTTATGAGACCTGCAGCTGAATATTTCAGGAGAGTAATGAAGCATGTTGTCATATCATGTTAGTGTGCCCGGAAGGTACTCACAAACTTGAAACGCTTGAAACACTTGTTATGTTTACCTGCAGTTTCAAGGTGGAAATGCTCAGCCATGGCGTTGACTGCTTATTTCACTCACAGTGTCATTAAAACAACAGAAATATTGTTCAGTAGAATGTTTGATAGTTTTACATAAATGCATTGAGTGCAAACTGCTGTGAAAACTTGGGTTGCATGAGTGTCACCCAGACTGGAGGACAGACTGCTTACGCTGCTCGTGTTCGGGCCAAGGCTAATGATAATGACTTCTGATTTAAACTCATTAGCCACAGAAAGTTGTTTGACATCCAGTTTTTAATTTCTGAAAGACGGGACAGAATATGTCAAACATCCGTGGTACCAGGTTTGAACTGGACATCTAGCGGGTGTTTATTGGCTCAGACCTACTTGTGTTGTAAATTAAAATCACCATATGAACATGTTAACTAGGGACTGACTGATGATTAATCTGGCCTGTTATTGCCTGTTATATTCTGGTTTTTTTTTTCAATTATGTATACCATTTTGTTTTAAATCAACAGATCAGTGGTTGGACCGCTGTTAAGGCTTTGAGCTGCCTGTTAAATGGTTGGAGGTTCAAGCCTCAGCACCACCAAGCTGCACTGTTGGACCCGTTAGCGTGGTCCTTAAACCTGCCTATGCATTGCAGTGTGGTTGAAGTTTGACGCCAGCTTCCTAAAAAAAGCTGGGGTATACAAAGACTGCCTACTCTGTGCAATAAACTTGAATCTTAATCTTAACAGCCAGTCAACACTGAAAGCTATTGTTTACACAGAGGGACAGAAAAGCACATTTGCAGATACTGCTGAAGTTGTAACACTGAAAATGCCCCAAAATGTCAGTCAGATTAACTTTAACACTCTGCTCTTACCGATAGATGGATCTCTCTAGCAGATACTCAACCTGTAAAAGTGGACAAGATGCACAACCAACTAAACATTAGCTACTCTGAAAGTTATGAGGCAGCCACAGATACAGTAAATTGGTGGATCCTTAATGTTAACAAGGTTAAAAACTTGATTTTCACCAGAAGGGTCTTTAAATCTATTGTATTTGCATGCCAATACTATTATTTTATTTTAACTTGTGTCCACACTAAATGAGTCTTGCACTCACAAAACAGTCCACTAACTTCTGGTGATAAGTATTATGAAGATTTTTATCATTTCCAGTAGCAGAAACGTTCCTCACGCAAGATAAGGGTGATGAAAAAACGGAAATGAGGCAACAGTGGGTAACCACAACTCTTCTGGTTTCTCAATATGCTGATGTTGTAAAAATGAGAAATCAGGAAATCAGCGATGCCGCATCATACTCGGACATCATCGTTCCTATTTCTGTCGTACACGATCAGTTACAGTCGTTCTTTTTATGCAACCTGTTTACGAATGATAACATCCCTGCCTCATCTCTTTTAGTTTCTCTTTAGCAACAGTTTTACTGCTGGGCATATGATTTATACATCACAAATCTCCATAGTGTTTATACTTAGAAATTAGTCAGTTATTTTGTGAGCACATGACAAATTTATTCTGGATACAAGTTATGGTACAAATAATACAGCCACAAACACAAAACGTGTAGGTATATTGATTCCATATGTCTGTTATCAGCCTTTTTTGATCATCAGTAATTAATATGTGCCCTGAAAAACAAAACAAAGAACTAACAAAAAACAAAAAAGAAAAGAAAAGAAAAAACATATTGGGTGATTCCTAATGTCAGCGAGATCAAAGAAACTTAATTTCTTGATATACTTGATATAAAATATATCTTAAGCTAATAAAATAAGAGGCATCAGTGGGTGAACACAGCTCCCCTTGTTGTTGTTGTTATTTCTCCTCATGCTGAAATCAGTTCCAAATATCAGTTATTGATCTTTCTTGATTATTAATAATCAGTATTGCCCCTAGAAAATACAAACAAAAACAAAAAAACTAACAAAAAAAAAGCACAAAACCATAAAAACAAACAAGAAGTATTGGGTGATCCCTAACGTTAGTAAGGTAAAAAACAAACAAACAAACAAACAAAAAAAACAACTTGATTTCTTGATATAAAAAATATTTTAAGGTATAAATATTATTTCAGTCTAACTGGTGTCCACACTAAATGGGCTTTGTGCTCACAAAACAGTGAGAACGTTGCCCTCTGTACAATCAGACAGACAAAGCAGAGAATCAGAGGCATCAGTGGGTGAACACAGCTCCTCTTGTTGTTGTTTCTCCTCATGCTGATGTTGTACGAGTCAGGAAGTCAGCGGGTCACGTGTCCCGGCGGTGGGCGGGGCGGTGCGTCTCTGCCGGCCAGTCGCGGCGCAGCGTCGCTCTCCAGCTCCCAGCAGCTTCACGGGCTGGAAAAAAAAAAAAAAAAAAAAAAAACCCGAGAGAGAGAGAGAGAGAGGAGAGACGAATAACGGTTCACTCCAACAACATTTATGGAGCCGATTCCCGAATCCGACAGCAGCGTCTCCACCGGCGGTGAATTAACGCGTTTGCGGGCGGAGGCGGTGAGCGCGCTGCGGGGCTGAAGAAAACGAGCGGTCCACCATTGTCTGCAGAGGAATAAGAATATGGCCTGGATGTGGAAGGTAAGAGGGGCTCCGTCTCCTCCTCTGTCAATACGAGGAGGAGAATCCGCGGCAGGAGCCTGAGACGTGGCCGGCGTTCAAGGCTTGTTGTGTTGGAGCAGATGTGGATGCTCGGTGGAGGAGATGAAGCCTCCTCCGGCTGCTGGAGCCGGACTGTGTGATTTTGCTTTATGAGTATTGTGCACATGAGAGGAGAGAAGCAGGTTCCCGTGTTGGATTTGTTGTGCTGTTGTGTTGGAGGAGGCAGGCAGGAGCAGGCCGGCCAGATGTGCACGCCACACGTCCAGGTGTTCACATGACGGGAGGGAAGTTGGCACATCTGGCCGAGCCCCAGCCAGAGGCAGCTGTCAGTCACTTCATAAGTTCACATGAGCCACAGGACGCTCAGTTTCTCTTCATAAGCCCTCAAATGATCATTTGCTGTCAAAAAGGCCCAAAACTAACTCATCATCTTCCATATGTGCTCATTATTTATCTTTTTTTCTTCATAAAAAGTCAAAAAGTGATGAAAAATGTTCCCCACACACAGTTCTTCTACAATCCAGTGATGTTCATCCAACAATGACTAAACTTTGGGTATTTTGCTGAGAAAAACAGCAAAACATGACCTTTGAGGAGCTGGATGTTGACAATGTTCGACATATTTGCGTGATAAATGGACTAATTGATAATTGAATTAGTCTCTTGTGCTCCCAGTTTGTCATTTTGACTATAAATTGCTAGAAAATAGTGAAACACGTCCGTTACAGTGGCGCCTACAATGTAAAACCTAAAAATATAGAGTTTGACATTATCCTGTTTAGTGTTGTTGTCGAGCAGTTGACTGGTTGATTCTTAAAGTTGTGATTCTCAGGTCAGGGTCTATATATATGTGAAACATGCCCATTACAGTGTTGAAATGTAATTAGTTTATTGTTTAAAACATTTTCAGTTTGACACGATTAACACAATTAAAACAGTTGGTGATTCATTGTTTCTCTGATTTTAGGCTAATTCTTAAAGCTCGTTAATCAGTCATTAAAAATATCAACCACTGCTGCAGAATTCACGTTGATATCTTCAAACTGATGCTTTTAAGCAGCCAAACGTTGTTGTGGCCAACAGTGATAAAAAAAAAGAGAAAAACAGCAAAATGTCACAGTTGAGCAGCTGGAGGCTGTTTGACATGTTTGACCTATTTGCTTGATAAATAATTTAGTTTATCAGTTGATAGTTTCTTGCTTTCAGTGTGGAACGCAGTTTAAAATCTAAAAATATTTAGTTAGACATGATTATCTGTTGATTAATTGACTAATTCTTCAGGCTCTGTTTCAGAGTTATTGAGTAATCTCAGTGTTTTTGTCTATAAGTTGTCACAATAAAGTAAAACGTGTCCACCGCACTATTAAAAGGTGTCTATTAAACTGTGAAAAACCTAAAAATATGCAGTTTGAAATGATTAGCATTGTCAAAGTTGTTGGTGATTAATTGACTAATTCTTAAATTCTCAAACTGTCAATCACTACCGCAGAATTTTATCTTCAAATTGCTTCTTCTGTTCAAACCGAAGTCCACAAGATACTTAACGATGATTAAAAAAAGAGGAAAAAAAAGGAAAATATCACCTTTGAGAAGCTGGATTGTTTATGTCACCTTCTCAAACAAACTAACTGGAAATTGTCACAAAATAGTGGTGAAATAGGGGTGAAATTTGTAGCGTCTACAGTGTAAAATCTAAAATACTCATATTAAAATGATCATCCTTCTGAAGTTTGTTAGTGTTTAATGTTCTGGTGATTAATTGGTTACTTCTTAAAGCTCAGTTATGGAGTTATCCAGTAATTTAATGACTAAATTAAATGTTTTTGTCAGAGTGTGAAATATGAATCCCAGTTGCAGAGACCATGATGATGCCTCCAAATTGCTTCTTTTGTGTGACTGAAACCCAAAAGATATTTAGCCAACAATGATTTAAAACCAGTTCTGAGCTTTTAGAAGCTGCAACCAGGAAATAACAACCAGCGTTTCCTCTGAAATTACTTTCACAATTAATAAATTGTTACCAAAAAAAGGGTTTTTGTCCATCAATGATGAATTAGTTGTTTCTCAAAGACTAGTTTGGTCAAAACAAAAGTTTGAAAATACTTCTAGCTTCCCCACAGTTTTTAGTTTTTAAAAATGTTCCTTTTAAACCAGCGGTTGATAAGCTAAAAATATTCACTTCACAGGGCTGCTGATTGAAAAGAATCAGTGTTTTTGTCCATGTAATTTGTATAAACACCAGAAACAAGTGAAAACCACAGTTTCATGGTTCAAGGTGGTGTCTTTGAAAGTGTTGTTTAGCTAAAAAAAAAACACCCAATAAATTCAGTTTCTAAAGATGTTAACCAGAGACAAGCAGCTGGAAGCAGAATAATTATTCAATTATCAAAACTGATCGTAGTAATCAGCTTGCTTTGTCTGAACAAACACTCAAAACAACAAAAAGCAGAAGCAGTAAATCCCCCATTAGATGAGGTGAAATAATACATTTAACACCGATAGTCTTATTTCAGGCCTGGAGTTGGTGTCAGACTTCAGATTGAACTCACACAGACAGAAATGTAAAACGTGTCGTCACACCTGCAGCGGTTTACGTGTCATAGTTTGCTTCACACGTCATTTGTGTGTTTGCAGCTCATTCCTGTTTCTACACTTCTTCTGTGTTTTACATGTGGTTTCAGTCTCTAAATTAACTTAACTTAGCTGGTCTGTGTGTTCTAAATGTAACATCTAAGAATGAGATATCTCCAGATATGCTTGATAATTTCACAAACTTCCTCTGCTTTTAACTCTTGTGTGGCTGTGTCACCTTCATACAGTGTGTGGCTGGTTGCTTTAAAATAAAATGTAAAAGTTTAGGGCTGCAGGATGCGTTGATTGAGCATCTTCATTGCAGCGTGTGCAACATTAAGGCAATTTAACTCACTTGTTTCGCTGCTCGTGACTAAAAGAAGACAGACTTTGTTGACACGCCGTTGAAACGCTCCACATGTGCAACAGTCAGGAGAGAAGCTGTGATTCGGTTCGCAAAGACAAATTACATGGAAGCATTTCAGCTACAGAAACAATGACGTTGATCAAAAGCAGGCAGCATCTCGCAAATGTTGCCTCAACGTGAGACAACACGACTAATTTGTTTGACTGTTTAAATCAGCGCCACCAAATGTCTTCATGAGATCTGAGTGTCATCAACACGGAGCTGGTTGGATGCAGCCGTCAGTGTTGCACCGCAGGAGAAAAACTTCTTCCAAAGTTACTTCCCATTTTCGATGCAGATGCACTTCGCTGCAAAGTGATGACAATTTGTTTTCCGGTAGAGTTTTGAACTCATCTGGTCAAAATTTGCCAAAAAATAAAAAGTGCAATATGTTCAACTAAACATCATTCTGTCATTTTTTAGCTCCAGAATCGTGCAGCTCTGCCAAAACTAAATCCTCAAATGTCTTTTTGTCTGGATGTTCAGTTTAATATCATTTAAGGGAGAAAAGCAACAAAAACCTTTCAAGTGAGAAGCGGTAAATAAAACATTTCCTTTTCTTTCTTTGGACGGGACAGGGCGTAATAATGAACGTACAGTCTCAGAGGTTTACACAAAGTTGTAGTAAATACGCCGGATTTAGCACAAGGTTCATTTCCATCCGTTGTCCCACACATAAAAGAAAAACATACAGGGATATAGACATCCATCCATTATCTATACACCGCTTAATCCTCACTAGGGTCATGGGGGGCTGGAGTCTATCCCAGCTGACTCAGGGTGAAGGCAGGTTCACCTGGACAGGTCACCAGTCTATCACAGGGCTACACTTAGAGACAGACAACCAAGCACACTCACATTCACACCTACGGACAATTTAGAATCACCAATTAACCTCAACATGTTTTTGGACTGTGTGGGAGGAAGCTGGAGAACCCGGAGAGAACCCACGCTGCACGGGGAGAACATGGAGACTCCGGATATAGATGTATAAAATAAAAAAGAAAGCAAAAAACAGCAATAATAAAACAAAGACAGTGATGATCAGATTCATTCAGACTGGGTTAAACCTACTCTAAAGTGCTACTATATCAGTAAAGTGCTTTCTAGGCATTGCCCGTCATAAAGTGCATGTATTTAAAGTGCCTTATTTTCTTAAATGTTCACACGTTTGATCGTTAATCAGCCGTTTCTTACACTGTCTCTTAAAACTGACAAAGGTGGAGCTTCCTCTGACAGCTTTAGGTAAAATATTCCAGTTTGGGCAACCTTTAATAGATAAAACATGCTGTGCAAAGGAGGACAACACTCGACATTTAGCTTGAAAAAGGATTAAAATGATCCACTGATTAACAAATAATTGAGTAAACAACCAACAGTTTTAGCTTTGAATGGTTAAAAAATAAGTATCACCTGCAGATTTCACCTAAAAAGACTTCATCATGATGCGGTAATCACGTGAAATGACAGGAAACAAACACTAAAACAAGTTTGTTCATTCGTAAACTCAACAAATTCAGCTTGTTTGAAATCAGATATGTGGACAGAAGACAGTACTACAATATAGTATGAGCACATGATCACAGTTTGATCGTCTCAAAGCTCAATAAATGTAATATAAATGCTAATACTTCATCGTTTCTCCTCCCTAACTCACAGCCTGACGTCACTGATCTCACTGTGATGCTGAAGCTTTTATACTTAAAGTGCTGCTGAAGATGTCAAAGATCATTTTCTGGCTTTCAGAAGAATCCGCTGATTTATTTCTGCTTCCTCAGAGCGAATGTTTCAACATTAACACACAGCCTCAGCCCTTCTCGCTTGTTTTTATCTTCGTTTTTCTGGCTAAAGTTGAGAGTTTTTACCCGTTTAAAGGCTCTTTTGGATGCCGTCACGTCTTTCAACACCCACGTCTTCTTCGTCTTCGTCGGGAAACAATCCTTCAACAAAGTGTCACTTCAAAAACGTCCCTGTCACGCCTGCGTCTGCTCGTCGGGGCCGT